GATTGGGTTATTGTCAAATCTTGATATTGAATCCACGAATAGAGAGATATCCCTATAGACCCCCATGAATCCTAGTAAGTAGGTTAAAAGGAAGAATTACTGATCTTATGCATGAAATTAAAATATCACTTGGTTATTTATCTTCATAGGTTGTTTTCGGAAAAATCCATAACAGTAAGTATAGAATACAATATTTTAGAGTTAAATGTATTTACTTAAATCAATGGCTCCATTAGTTATTTTATGATTTTTACCTACCTTTGATTTTTTGTATCAATGATTAGTGTGATATTCTTACTGTGCTAGTGTAGCTCACCATTTCATCAACTATTTCAGATCAAGAAGCTCAAAATCCAGATCCCAATCAGCAAGAGGGTTGTGAGTAGTTCACCTCCTGGACTCTCTTTAAGTGCTAGTGAAAGTTAACTCCTAAGATATTTATTTATTTATTTTTAATTACCGTTTATCTTTTTTTATGAACACATGTAAAAGAGACATTCCCGTAGCCCTATTGGGCATTCTAATTTACTGTGTAAGGAATGTAAACCCTCATATTATTATTCGCTTCCGCATTAAAGATAATAAATTCATTTCTTTTGAGGTCTGGGCTTTTACAGTGAAAAAGAAGGGGATACCTTATGCCAATTATGCCTGGTGATGGTAAGATTAATAAACAATGAAAATCCATTAACATAAACAAAAAGATCTACAATAATATATATTCACATACATTTATAGGTATAATATCAACTCAAGAGAGGAAAATAAAGCAAGCAAAAAATTACATGACAAAAGACAGGGAAAAAAAGTTCAATTAACATTAGTTATGATGTTAACTGAGGAAGACATAGTAGAAATTTACAGCTTCTAGTTAATACTTGAACAGATTCAATGATAAATGTGGTCTGGTTGATATAAAATGAGCATGGAATTTTTCAGTCCGGTACATATTTCACTTAAGCATATGGAAAAATCCCATATGGGTGCATTTAAGTTCTATGATGCTTTTAAAATATCATACACGGATGTTTCACTTTCCAAATAACATGAAAGCATAGAAAGCACCATCTAGTTGAAACTATTCATCATAAAAAATACTAAAGCCAACTAATAAGAAAACCATTTCTAGAGGATCGCTTTAACACTAACTTAATCAGTTCTACTGCTATATATAGTTATAAATTGCATTAACTAACTTGCGGAAACTTGATAGCAATATCAAGAGGCATTTCACTTAAGTACGAATAAAGATTTAATGGTAACACGATGAAAATTTTTTAAGGAAGCAGTCAAAAAATCATCATTTACAACAAAAAAACCTGTTTCACCTTCTCCTCCTCTTCATGTCTTTTCTCTTATTCCCTCTGTTTGTTCTTCAATTCCCTCTTACACGCACTAAAAAATAATTGACGAAAAACAAAATCATCAAAGATACTAGCTATAAACTCCAAACTTGCATTTTTGTTATCAAATGAATGAAAATTTCAAGACTAACTTAAACACTCATTTCCTTATTAGTACAAGTGATGCGGAACCCAAGATCAACCAACGTGATCAGGAACTCACACAATTTTATTTAAAGGCATCAGGGAAATTGATTATATAGAAATTGTTCCTACTTAACCTACTATCAATAATGATAGGAACTAATATCACTGGAAGTGAAAGAAATAGAATGGAAAAACGCTACAAGTTTGTACCTTGATAAGTAGATTAACTCTTTACTCAACAAGATAGTAGAAGAATTTCTCTTGAAAAGAAATACTCTTAATATTATTTAAATAATTTTTGAATATCTTACAATGAAAACTTAGTTGTCTATTCATAGGCTAAGCCAAGTAAATAAAAATAAAAATAAAAATAAAATCTCTTAATTTAATTTACAATTACATAGGAAATAAATTAAAATTTAAAAATTAAAGACTAATTTTTGAAGTAAGATAAATTTAGTCTTTCCTTTTAATTAAAAGAGATTATGACCAAATTAAGAGGGAAGACACATAGAAATAAATTAAAAATTAAAAACTAATTTTTTAATTAAGATAAATTTAGTGTTTTCCTTTAATTAAAAGAGATTGTGATTAAATTAATGGAGAAATATATGAAAATTTAGGGCCGACCATAAGATCTTTTTTTAAGCCTATTTCCTCATCTTTCATTGGATTGAGCCTTCTCTTTCTACTCCATGTCCATGCTTACATCAACAAGCTTTTGATGGCTCCCTTCAACTAATCCTAAGTGAACAATGTCATTACGACATCACGAGAATCAATGCATGATTGCAATCCGGGGAGGAAGTAAAAGAAGAAGTAGCTGAAGAGAGAGAAAAAGCAGAGAAGGAAAGGAGAAGAAAGGAAAATCAAAGAAAGAAAATCTAGGGACTCGATAGGTAAAGAGAAATTCTCATCTATGCTTGTATGTCCCAACAATTTCTCCCTTATATGCAACTATTAAAGATTAACCTAACCAATTAATGGTAACTCAGAGCTCATTAACTAAGATTAGCAGCGAAGGAGCTTTACAAGATAATACGAGAGAAGGCATTCACCTTGGCTTGACTTCTGTTCTTCATGCAATTCGCTCCAAGTAAGTGGATTGTGGCTTTGTGTCATTTTAGAGACTTGCAGAAAAGTAGACGAGGCACGTTCTATTATTTATTTCCCATTTTGATTTTGATTTTTTTAAATTCATTTTAGTCTTGAATTTAATTTTAAATATTAAAAATTAACAAAGTATAACGGCCAAGCCAATCTTCTAAGTTGAGTACATTCTTCAATAACGACCAACCATCCTACCCTCCTTCCCTTCTCTCTCTCTCTGTCTCTGCGGGAGAGAAGCCACAAGCCTATGTCATCTTCTTCACTCGTCTGCTATCTAAATCCAGCCTCTGCTGCTACTCTCATTTCTCTCCAAAACGGATAACATCCACGCCTCCATACCCCGAGCTCAATCTTCTCTTCAATGGAAGGTTCCCTCTTCGCACAGAAGCCAGCTTATCCTGTCCAATCAACCCGCCCAATGCAGCCGAATCCACCTCTCAAATTCAGCTCTGCAACACTGCCACTCCCTCCTCAGCCTTCACCTCCGCCTTCACTACCTCTGGACTCCATCCTACAACACCTTCTCCATCTCTCTTCCCCGCCCAATACTGCGCAGAGACCCAAATCCTCAAACCCACCTCGAAGTAACGCAACCCATTTTCCTTCTCTCCAAATCTCCGAGAAATCAACGCAAAAGCAGCACAGACAGGTCAGTTTTAAGAAATCCACGTCTTTGCCTGCGCTAGAGTTCGCTGGCGAGAAGGAAGAAGGTCGACAGGGAGATGAGTTTCTCAGGATCTTGTCAAATAGGGCTATGCTCTTGTTCAATGCCATTGTGGAACAGCCCTTAAATGGTCTGAATAATTTCTTTGATTCTGCTAAATTTGAGTTGCTCAAGGTCGATTTATTCAGTTTGTTGAAAGCTTTAGATCTTTCGGGTAATTGGGAAAGAGCCGTTTTGTTGTTTGAATGGCTAGTATCTAACGCGTCTTCTGCGAATATGAGGCGAGACAATCAGGTTATCGAGCTGATTATTAGAATTCTTGGAAGAGAGTCGCAGCATTCAATTGCATCCAAGCTGTTCGATGAAATTCCCATTGAGGAATACTCGCTTGATGTTCGAGCATACACAACTATACTTCATGCATTTTCTCGAAGTGGGAAGTACGAGCGATCCATTGCTTTATTTGAGAATATGAAGGAAACCGGTCTTTCTCCCACTTTGGTCACCTACAATGTTATGCTTGATGTCTACGGGAAGAAGGGTCGGTCATGGAGTAAAATTTTAGGTCTTTTGGATGAGATGAGAACCCAAGGACTTGCCTTTGATGAATTTACTTGCAGCACTGTGATATCTGCTTGTCAGAGAGAGGGTTTGTTACATGAGGCAAAAAGGTTTTTCACGGAATTGAAGTCACAAGGCTATACACCTGGGACTGTAACTTATAACTCTTTACTACAAGTGTTTGGAAAGGCTGGAATTTATTCTGAGGCATTGAATATCTTGAAAGAAATGGAGGATAATGATTGCCCGGCTGACTCCGTGACTTACAATGAGCTTGTTGCAGCATATGTCCGGGCAGGATTTTGCAAGGAAGGAGCTGGTGTTATTGAGACGATGACAAGTAAAGGAGTGATGCCAAATGCAGTTACATATACCACGGTTATTAATGCCTATGGCAGAGCAGGAAAGGAGGACAAGGCTTTAAGGCTGTTTAAGAAGATGAAGGAGTCCGGTTGTGTTCCTAATGTATGTACATATAATACTATACTTGGGATGTTAGGGAAGAAGTCGCGATCTAGTGAGATGATAAAGATTCTGCATGACATGAAATCAAGTGGATGTTCCCCTAATCGAATCACATGGAATACGATGCTTTCAATGTGTGGGAAGAAGGGTATGTACAAATATGTGAATCGAATCTTTCGGGAAATGAAAAGTTGTGGTTTCGAGCCAGATAGAGACACGTTTAACACTTTAATCAATGCATATGGCCGATGTGGTTCACACATTGATGCAGAAAAAATGTATGAGGAGATGATCAAAGTGGGGTTTACCCCTTGTGTTACTACTTATAATGCACTTCTCAATGCTCTGGCAAGACGAGGGGATTGGAGAGCTGCAGAATCTGTCATTCTGGACATGAAGAACAAGGGCTTCAAGCCCAGTGAAACTTCGTATTCGTTGATGCTCCATTCTTACGCAAAAGGAGGAAATGTGAAAGGGATAGAAGCAATTGAGAAAGAAATATATGATGGTCGTATATTCCCTAGCTGGATGCTCTTAAGATCCCTTATACTTGCAAATTTTAAGTGTCGATCACTGGTTGGCACAGAGAGGGCATTCAAGGAATTGCAGAAGAAAGGATATAAACCTGATCTGGTTCTGTACAATTCTATGCTTTCAATTTATGCAAAGAATAACATGTATGATCAGGCCAATGAAATGCTGCAATTGATTCGGGAAAGCGGGCTGCAGCCTGATCTGATTACCTACAATAGTTTGATGGACATGTATGTTAGAAGGGGAGAGTGTTGGAAAGCTGAGGAAATCCTCATGGGACTAGAAAAGTCTGGGAGAAAAGCCGACCTCGTTTCCTATAATACTGTCATTAAAGGATTTTGCAGGAAGGGGCTCATGCAGGAAGCTATGAGAACTCTCACTGACATGACAGCTAAAGGGATTCGACCTTGTATATTTACATACAATACTTTTTTGACAGGCTATGCAGCAAAGGGAATGTTCCCGGAGATAAATGATGTGATTGACTACATGATTCAGCATGGTTGCAAGCCTAATGAACTATCTTACAAGATTGTGGTAGATGGTTACTGTAAAGCAAGAAAGTACAGAGAAGCCATGGACTTCCTATCCAGAATCAAACAATTCGATGTTTCTTTTGACGATCACTCAGTCCAAAGACTAGCTTCTCGCATCTGTGAAAATTTGGAGGCGTAACTTCATGAAGTATGCCTCTTTGATTCCATTTGGTTCTTGGCCGAGCACCAGAGGTGGTTGTGGCGAAATTATAGCTTCACTAGCTTGTTTTTTTGGTTTTGTGATCTCAATCAAGTATAGTAAGATCAGTTTTGCTCACAAGAGCGATAATCTCTAGCTGCCATATCAGCCTCAGATAGCAGATACATTGATTATGACTTGCTCCAACTGATATTGGGAAAGAAACTGAAGGAGAAGCTTTCAGCCTTGATGAACCTCATAAAGGTCTGATTTCCATTTTCCATTCAGAGCTCTCATGAGACTTGTGAAATTTACAATAATGCCCAGTTGTAATATCAGGGACCTCTATTTAAATGTTATATTATATTGTGTTGGGTTTAGAGAGGATTTCCAGCAGAATTCAGTGGGGAAATGAGCAAAGTTCCAGTCAGAACTTGAGGCTGTGGACAAGGGACTCTGGAGATTGGTCTGTGCTTTTAGCTGCTGCAGCTTGTTACTGTGTCAATGGTGGCAGGAGCTTCCTATGGGTTTAGGCTTGTATCTGGTTGGTATATAAAATATATTCTTTGAAAAACGTTACCATCAATTTTTTTTTTGGTTGATTTAACATGTATTTTAGCTGTGAATTAAACTGTTGAGCATCATAAAATATCGTATACTAAATAATTATAGAATTATTTAATAGTTTTTACTAAATTATGGTACAATATTACTCTCAAAAAGATAGTGCAAGTCGGTATTACATAAAATATTTTTATTAACTGTTTAACAGTTAAAAAAATATAAAAGTGAATACAATATATTTTTTCTTTTCTAGTTTTGTGTTTCTTAATCTAATAACATTATGCAATAAGTAAATAACATTATATAAATCAAATTACTCAGAAAAAGAATAATTAGTATAAAAGTTTGCTAGGCATGGTATTTCCCAATAATTATAGAATTGCCACCATGGTAGTACTCCTTTGCAACTTTCCAACCTGTTCTAATTACTAATATCATCTCAACTCATCCTTTAAAACCCTAATCAGAAAAAAAAAATGTAAATTTTGTAAGTATAGCTATCACAAGATGCGTATTGGGTTTGTGTGGACAAATGCAGATAGAAAAGAAAAAAGATCTACAGATACTTAAGAAACAGGAACAAGCAAAATGAAAACGATTAATTTCTAATCTTGAGAAAATACCAGAAGATATTTCGTTCAATAAATTGATTCAATGAGAACGTTTCCAAGTGTACAATAAAAAAGGAAGAGAAGCAAAATGAGAACGATTAGTTTCTAATTTTCAGAAAAAATAGCAGACAATATTCTGTACATAAATTTGTCCAACTAAAACTTTTCAAAAAAGGAAAAGTAAGTACAAACCTAACGCTGCCAAACAGTTTCTTTAAGAAGTTCGCGTGCGAACCAAGCTCAAAAATCTCAGGGGTTAACCCGAACAAAAAAAGACCGACCCGGTAAAAAACCGAAATCCAAACGCGCCCTTCGAACCAAACCCATACATCCATCAAAGCTCCCAGATTTTTCCACCAACCTAGACGGTGAGTGCACATGCATATGTGTTTTCTCTTGGCTAATTTCCCAAACATTGCTCACCACTCGTTCGCTTCCCCCTTCTCTCTTCCTCTCTCTCTCTTTCACCGTCTCTTCGAATTCGTTTCTCTAACGCAATTTAATTCTTCTACTCCTGAAACCCAATTCACTTTCCTTCCCGGCGAGCTTTTCGGGTTTTGGCTTCATGGGTTGAAGCGAATTTCCCTCCCTCGGGTGTTTCTCGACTACCGTCGTATGTAAATGGAGTGGGACAGTAGTTCCGATCTGAGTGGCGATGAAGACGAGGGCTTTCTGCTCAACGATGGCGGCCCAATTCCTTTTCCTGTCGAGAGCTTGCTCCAAACGGCGCCGTGCGGGTTTATCGTTACCGACGCGCTGGAGCCCGACCATCCAATCATTTACGTCAACGCCGTCTTTGAGACTGTCACTGGGTATCGCGCCGAGGAAGTTCTTGGCAGAAATTGGTCAGTTCGTGTCTTCAATTGACGCTTCCCTTATTTTTGTTTTACTGGGTTTTTGGTCTGGTTGTCACTTTATGCTGTACTTGGGGTGCTTTGTGTTCGTAAAATCAGCGGGTTAGGTGCTATTGGTAGATGTTGAAACATGGGTTTTCATTTGGTATGCTTACTGTTTCGTCAAGAATGAAATAATTCCATTTTGATTTCTGAGAAATAATTTTTCATATTTAGTTTTGTCCTTCTTTGTTTGAAAAGTTCAGTCTTTGGATTATTGCTACTATCTAAGCTACCCAAGTTTAGACATTTCTTTCTAGCCGTTTGCTGCTTGATCCTTGTATGGCTAAAGGAAACTGATCAGTAGGGTTAAACCTTGGTTTGTTCTGGTTAATCTTGGATGATATGATTATTTCCCTCACCGAAGTATTAATTTTCATTTATAAGACGGAATGCATGACAAAGCAATTGTTTCTCTCACCAAAGTATTAATTTTCAGTTATAAGAAGGAATGTATTTGGAGAGTCTATGTTATGCTCAAAACCTAATACAAATAGGCCAGACTAATTTGTTTTTTTGACGGAGTTGAGGGTAGAACACGACTCAAGTCCTTGAGCTCTGCCGAGGAGTTTAAGGCTCTTGGCAGGAGCTTGTAGTGTTAATTGTTGGGATTAACTTTCAACCATATGAGGGGCTTTTGTTTGACCAACTTCTAGGCAGGGTACTTGAAGATTTTACTGGGATGGGCACATTCAGCAATCATTTGAAGTAGTTAAGTTGTTGTTTATCAACTATGATCATTAGGATAGCTGAGGATTGGGGAAGTAGAGAGCATCTTGTAGTCAGCTTGTTATATGTTGGTGAAAAAGAAGTTTTGTTCAGCTAGAGATATATTAGAACCTGACATCGGACAAGGATATTTCTTGATGGCAATGCAAATAAGGCTCCCATGGATACACACTTAAAAAGGATTTTTGAGGGTATTTACTCTTCTTTTGATGGTGTTAGATTTCACTGATTCTGAACCTTATCTATTTTGTTTAAATGTCAGCCTCTTCTTGGTGGAGAAGATCAAGGAACCTGATTAATATTTTGTCTCCCTGTGCTGTGTTAATGCTTTTTTACCTAGGTGGCACATCCTTGATGTGCTTTTTATAGTACTTCCTTTTCATTTTAGAAAAAAATGAAAATTACAGTTCGTTCTTGCTTTCTTCTTTGCTGCTTGTACTGTTACCTGCTATAATTAAGACCCTGCAATTGGAGACATCAGAGAGTTGCTGCATTTGTGGACTTTTTTTTGGATAGAAATGGAATATCTAGTTTTTTGTGCCTCTGTTATGACATGATTTATGAGGTTGCTTTCGTAAATCTTGAGCTTGTGAACATGATTAAATTGTCTGGGACATATATGTGGACATGATAGACTCATGCATGATCATTTTATTATTGATCATAAAGTTTGTCATGCTGCATAGATTTTAATTATCTTGGGGAGCCTGGAACAACCAATTGATCTAATAAATTACCTAGTGCATGGATTGTTGACTTAGTACCTGGATTGGTCTGGCATATGTAACAAGATGACAAAATGGAATTGGATGCATTGTAACTTGTAAAATTGGAAGATGGGAGCAGATGAATACATAGGGTACAAGTCCCCTTGCTGGTTGATTTCGTTGAGGTTTATTTGAGTTTAGTGCATAGGTTCATTATTACAAATGAAAGAAATGTTGAGATGGTAGCCAAGTAAATATAGTTACTCTCTCTTTATTAAAATTGGAGGACATCATAAATATGTTGTTTTACATGGGGAACTCATTTTTTGCTTTCTTCTGTGTAAGTTTTACCATCAAGAAATATTAACTGAGTTTCACAAGACAAGCTTCCAAGTTTCAAATGTCAGTTGTGCGTTTGTTTTTATTGCTTTGTTCTCTCACTTTACTTACCTGTTTCATAAAATCTTCAGATTCTGCTTGTGGCCCTTTATGAAGAGAAAGAGACAGCATAACTTTTCAATCATCTTTAGTATTCACATAATCCTTTTTTGAAGGATTATCTAGTACGTTTCAAAATGACTTTGTTTATTTATTTTTTAAAATCACTCAGTTTCTTCTCCATGTCTGATCTGTAGTAGAAAATAGAAACAGAATGAATGTCACATGTCTTTGTATAGATGCTAAAGCTTATTCGTCTGAAAAGAAATGTGTTTATTCATTGTCTGATGTGTGCTATGTACAAATTTGACTTAAATTTTAGATTTATTTCCGTACTCCTCCACGTCCCTGGGGTATAAGCGGAGCTACTATTTTGCACGCTTGTCTTTCTAGAAGACTGGAATTTTGTGTATGCTTTTTTTTCTTTGTTCCTTTTTTGTTATTTTAGGAGTAGGGGAGTGGGAATCAAAAGAAGATCGTGAACTTATGTTACACTTATAGCATTTGAATCAGATTAATTAAGGTAATGATGTTCATTGTTATTTGAAAATGTGTTGAAGCTATATGCTGACAATCTACAACTTGTTTTCCCATGGAAAATGTTTTGTTTTGGTGTTAGGCTCTCTTATTCTTGTAACTAATTCATCTACCAATAATTAGTACAAACTGATATTGTGATCATCATGAAACTACTTGCTTCCAATTCCTTTGGTAAGGAGGTCGTGCTAGTGCTCATATCTTATAATATAGTTATTGACGTGGTGTGAGCTGTGAAGCTGATTTGGAAAGAAGGTTGAAAACGGCTGGCGGATTAAGGGTTCATATTTATCAAACAATTGCTATATTTTCTTTAGATAAGTTCTTTTTATAATAGAAAAGTTCTGGTCAAGATACGAATATCTGAAAACTTCCTAGTATCTCATGCTTCAGCCCCTCCCAAACTCACTGTTGCATCACTCTTCCTGATGTCTGTTGTACTCTAAAAATTATATTAATCCAATGTCAGTGCCTATAGAATATATTTTTAAATATCGTGGAAACATTACGAAAAATTTAAGCATAATTATCGTGGCTTAGAAATAGTGAAATAGATCTTTGCAACTCTCTTAATCTTGATAATTTTTTATCCATTAGTAGGTTAAGCATTGAGAGTTGCTTCTTCTGATGCTGTTTTATTTTGTTGCAGCCGTTTCTTGCAATGCAGAGGACCATTTGCTAAAAGAAGACATCCATTGGTGGACTCAACAGTAGTTTCAGAGGTAAGAAGATGTCTTGATGAGGGCATTGAATTCCAAGGTGAGTTATTGAATTTTAGGAAAGATGGTTCTCCAATGATGAACCGACTGCGGCTGACTCCTATATACGGAGACGATGAGACTATTACTCATGTTATAGGAATTCAGTTCTTCACAGAAGCAAATATTGATCTGGGGCCAGTTCCTGGGTCTTCTATTAAAGAAGTGACAAAGTCATCTGATCGGTTTCGATCAGGTGTTTCTACTTTTCGTCCTGTGTCTGTTGGGGAGCGAAATGTTTTTCGTGGAGTTTGTGGGATTTTA